TCGAAGGCCTCTGCCCGCTTGGGGCCCCAATCCCACGGGGTGGCCTTCTTGAGAAGTTCTGTCAGCTGCACTGCAATGAGGGAGTAACTTTTTACAAACTGCCGATAGAAGTTGCATAGGCCAAGGAACGACCTCAAGGCATGTATATCTTTAGGAGGCAGCCATTCTGTAATGGCCTGAATCTTCTGCTGGTCCATCTTGATCCTCCCTTCCTCGATGACATGTCCGAGGAAGTCAATTTGTTTCTGAGCAAAGGAGCACTTGGATAGCTTCGCATATAATTCGTGCTCCCGCAATCGGGCTAGGACCTTTCGCAAATGCTCCATGTGTTCTTCTAGTTTCTAGCTATATACCACAATGTCATCCAAATAAACCACGACAAATTCATCAATGTATTCTCGAAAGACTTGGTTCATCAAGGTGCAAAATGTGGCTGGCGCGTTAGTCAAGCCAAAGGGCTTAACCAGGAAGTCGTACGACCCATATCTTGTCACACAGGTCATCTTGTGCTCATCACCATCGGCAATCCGAACTTGCCAATAACCTGTCCTCAGGTCTATTTTGGTGAATACCGTCGCACCACCCAGTCTATCAAACAAGTCTGCCATTAGCGGAATAGGGTACTTGTTTTTCACGGTGATTTTGTTTAGAGCCCGGTAATCCACGCAGAGTCGTAAACTACCATCATGTTTCTTTTGGAATAGCACAGGGGATCCATGTGGGGACTTAGAGGGCACAATGATCCCTGTGTCTAGCATTTCCGTCAATTGTCTCCGAAGCTCGGCGAGTTCGGGTTGTGACATTCTGTATGGTGCCCGGGCAGGTGGCTTCGCACCCGGCACCAACTCAATCTCATGGTCCACGGTTCGCCTAGGCGGAAGACGCTTTGGCATGTCTTGTGGCATGATGTCTTCAAATTCCAGAAGCAACTCCTTCACGGGTGCATGAATGGGACCCGAGGAGCGTTCTATATCTTCCATGCAGAGGGTAGCCAAGAACGTGGGTTCATGTCTTTTTACCCCCTTCTTCAACTACAAGGCCGAGATGTTCTCGGCTGCCATATTCATGGGAATGCACGGAATAATGTAGGGCTTGGCCCCATTTGCCCCCATCATCAGTAGCATGTCTGCATACGGTGCGGGCATGGTATTGGTCTGTCTCAGGAATTCCAACCCCACGATTAACTCAAAGTCATCTATGATCACTACACGCAGGTTGAACTTTCCTTCATAAGGGCCAAGCTTCACTGGTACTTCTTTGGCTATTCCACCCACTGGTTGAGGTGGTGAGTTGATAGCCTTCACACGACCTTTGCCCTTTCCTACGACTAGTCCAAGACGCTCCACCTGAGTCGAGGCTAAGTAGTTGTGGGTGGCACCCGTGTCTATCATTGCCCGAATGGGCTTGCCATTTACCTTCATGTCAACGAACATTAGGGTCCTCTCTTGATGAGGAGGAGTCCTCAAATTCGCCTTCTTATTTCCTTTCCTGGCAATTGGACAGGGGTCCTTCTTCTTGCGGATACCGGCACTGGTTCCCGCTAAGGGCTCAGAAATGGAGCCAACAATTGCATTGAATGCACCTACTGGCTCGGTCTGGTCCGCATCATCGGCGTCGTCATCCGTCCCATCCTCAAAAGCTTGATGGGCGTTCATCTGTGCATGTGGACATTCATTATTCCAATGTGGTCCGCCGCAATGGCGACATCCTGAGGGGGGCTTCCTCCCCCGATCATTGTTGTTAGATGCAGCACTAGTACTGCCGGAAGAGGGAGCCTTGGATTTGGGTGCACTCCGGTCTCCTCCACTTCTGCTAGGGCCACTAGTGTTTGGTTGGCCCCCTTTGTATCCTCCTCGGACAGGCTGTTGAGGCCTATCCTTCCGGGCTTCCACTTGGTAATCCCCAAGGCACTCTGCTGCTTGGATTGCCTTAGGCAACGTGTCTACCCTTTGTCTCTGCAACTCCATCCGGGCATAAGGTTTCAACCCTTCCAGGAAGGTGAAGAGTTTGTCTTTGTCCCCCATGTCACGGATGTTCAGCATGAGCGCGGAGAATTCCCGCACGTAATCTCGCACTGATTTGGTCTGGCGGAGCTCCCGCAACTTTCTCCTGGCATTGTACTCAACATTTTCGGGGAAGAACTGTAGGCGTATGGCTGCCTTCAGTTCCGCCCATGTGTCGAGGGCATCTTCACCTGCCTTGATGGCTTCGTACTTCACCCGCCACCAGAGTTTGGCATCACCCTGAAGATACATGGCAGCAGTTGCTACCTTCTTAGCTTCTTCCAGGCTTCCCACGGCATCGAAGTATTGCTCGATGTCGAAAATGAAATTTTCCACTTCTTTGGCATTCCGAGCTCCACTGTATGGCTTTGGCTCAGGAATTTTCAGCTTTTGTGCCATGGGGGCGAGGTTCACACCACCCCCAAATTGGTTTCCGCCTCCTCGAAGTAGGCCTTGTAAAGCAGCATTGACAACATTGAGCTGGCCTGTCAAGTTGTCTATGGTTTGTTGCATGGCAGTCACCCTGTCTGCCTCTTGTTCCCTGTTGGCTAAATCCTCGGCACGCTCCTGCTGGAGGACCTCAAATTTTGATCCGTTAACCATCCAAAACTCACCTGAGCCCCTCGGGACCTCAACCAAATATGCCGACAAGTCCTAAAACATCATACGGACTTAGTTGAACCCTCAAATCACCTCAAACAACATCAAATCATCAAATTACCCTCGGATTCAAGCCTAAGAACTTCTAAATTTCCAAATTCGGCAACCGATGCCGAAACCAACCAAACCACGTCTGAATGACCTCAAATTTTGTACACACATAACAAATGACACTACGAACCTACTCCAACTTCCTAAATTCCATTCTGACCCCGATATCAAATTTTTCCACTGCCGACCGAAATCGCCAAATTTCCAATTTCGCCAATTCAAGCCTAATTCTACCGCGGACCTCTAAATCACATTCCGTACGCGCTCCTAAGTCCAAAATCACCTGACGGAGCTAACGGAACCATCAAAATTCAAATCTGAGATCGTTTATACATAGGTCAACATCCAGTTGACTTTTCCAACTTAAGGTTCTAAATAAGAGACTAAGTGTCTCATTCCACTCCGAAACCACTCCAGGCCCGAACCAACTAACCCGGTATATCATAATGTAGCTTAAGAGCATAAAGGAAACATAAATAGGGGAAATGGGGCTATAACTCCCGAAACGACTGGCCGGGGCATTACAGTAGTTTAGCCAACATACCTCACTTTGAGATTTCCTTAAATTACTACAATGTTCCGGAAATTCTTAGTAATCACAATCTATTTTGATACATAACAAAATTGAATACAAATTAGGAAGGTATTCATGGGTTCAGATCATTTGAGCATTTCATCAAACACTTGGTGTACAAATTTGGTTACAAGGTTCTTCTACAAGATTTCAAAGATTCTACAACCCAATCTTTACTTATTTAAGCTCAACAATCTTCCCGCAACATTTATTGGTACATGCATGAATAAATAATACTCTCATACCCAAGAATAATACTCAAAATTAACCATCTTCTACCCAAATTCGAAATTAAAAATTAGGGTATGGAATCTTACCTATTAGATGAAGAACTTGTGAGATTTCCTTATTGGATTTCAAAGTTTGGACAAGATATTGATGAACAAATCATTTGAGCTTCTTCTTCTCTCTAGAAATCTCTCACTTCTCTCTAAAATCATCAGATAATTGCCCCAAAATAAGCCCCAAGGCCTATTTATCAAAATGGGGTCGGGTTATGAAAATAGGAAAATGGACCCTCCGAAATCAGGTATGCGGTCGCACAATGGACCGCACAATTGGCATGCGGGTCGCACTATGGACAGCAAAATCGGTTCCCAAAATTGGGTTGCGCTGGCCAGGTCTGCGACCATTTTATGGTCGCATAACTACTTCTGTGATCGCATAATGGTTCTGCGATCGCAGAATTGGTTACAGAATAGCATTTTTCCAGACGGTTTGAAGCATTAGAAACTAAACACATCGACCTTTCTTTTGATATGTAATACACCATATAAATCTTCATATCATGAGAGGTATGCTCGTTTGAAGTTAGGTATTGTGCGAACTCACTTGAAACTTTAGTCTATTATGATATTTCCAACTTGACTTGGACTTAGGGATCTCCTTAGACCATAAACCATTCTTAATGCACCTCATACATATATTATAATGATAAATTGATATTATTCATATAATAGTCCTTGTATTCACAAAAAATAATATAATTAGCGCACATCAACTTTCTTAATAGCGCTTAAGTACTTCGAAATTTTTCGGGGTGTTACATTCTGCCCCACTTAAGAACATTTGTCCTCGAATGTTTTACAAGTCCCTTCTAAGAATAGAGTTACCATCATTTTACCCCCAACCATTATACATAGGCACTTATGATTACATCGGTCTTATACATCCTTTCCAAAATTTCAACTTACTTATGGACCTTAAGATTTGGCTATCTTAATAAATTCTTAAACATTTCGACAGAGTTTCCCCTATAACTGGGCCTATCCACCTGTCAAAGAATTACAGAAATCAATCCTTACAATATATCCATTACTCAACAACACATCACAGTATATATCAACAATACTGATCTAGACATTAGGGCATTACATTAAAAAAAGTGGTATCTCNGCATAGAAGGTACGTTTTTGAACCACAACCATTTGGCTCTACAAACAAGTGAGAATATTTCCTTTCCTCAACACTTTCGCCCTACGAGGTGATCTCCTCGACTCACAGACATAGCCATAGCACTTGACGGAGGCAATCTTAACTTCCCGACTTATCTAACAAGGATAGCAAATAGTTGCTCCTCATAATCCAATTATCCATTAACTTCACCTTCTTAGACATAGACACATGAAACACCGGGTACATGGAGAACAATAATAGGGAAACATCATACTCATAGTTTGGCCGATTTCCTTCTTGATTTCATAAGTCCTAATGTGACTACACATACCTTACCCTTATTAACAATTCACATAGCATCCTCATGGAGAAAATATTGAGAATAACCTATTCACTTTCTTCAACTCTAAATCTCTACGCCGAACACCCAAACTAAATCTTTGGCGACCTTCAACAATTATTCTAAGATGTGCTAGCTTGAATATGACCATAAAATTTTCTATCCAATATATTTGATCATGGGATGATGCTTCTTCTTTGACATGTTTGAACCTTTAGCCCCCACAGGTTTACTATAAATAGGAACAACAAGGTTTGAGATTGGACTCGAATTATTAAAGAATCCATCAATGTGCCGAGCATG